AAAGAAAGAGTTGATGACTACAAAAATTGGTCCAATTTGCATGCAGTTTAGTAAAAAGGCAGACCAGCAATGAGTTTGCAGGTTGGATTTACAAGGAACTGTCACATCTGTAACAGGCTCCAGAGGACTTAAATGATACCGTACCATACCACTTTATTTATAGAGCACTTAAAACAGCGACAAGGGCAACCGAAGTGCTGTACAGACAAAACAACAGGTAACACACAAAGTAATATACAAAATGAGGTAAATCAGAATATATACATACAAACGATGCAGATAATGACGACAAACCAGTGTGGAGCATACAGGATCAAACAGAAATTAGCTGGTGTTGAAAGCCTCCGAATAGTAATAATGATGACATCATGAGAGGAGAAATAGTGGTATCAGACAGTTACTACACAATCTGACAGCTCATTGAACACAGAGCATACCTTGTAGATTATTTAAGCAACGTCATCAACTCTTGGCAAGTTGATTGAGGTTATAATGTGGACTTGATGAAGCTGAGTGTTCATATTGTACAACTATCTGTATTCCTCTTTTACAGATGTCACTGTGGCCTGATGTTAGAACTATTGGGTATGTGAAGGCAGCTACACACTTCATGAAGGTTTTGATCATCCAAGATGGACTTCATTAAGGGAAAACATATTGTGCACCAAGCTTTACAGAACTCAATGACATCTGCACCTGTCTTTGTGACATAGGTATTGGATAGTCTTGATGCCCAGCATTAGTCATACTACTTGTATAAGCTGCAGTCAACACCAGAATAAAAACTGCCTGCATACCGTAATGTAAAGTATGGAATAATGATGAGTGAAGTCAAGTTCAATGATGAATCCTAGTTCTGCATTATGAGGGATATACATTTGTATTTCTTTAACACGGCACTTTGGTGGGATGTCCCCAGTTTCCCTTTACAGTCTCCCAGCTTCACCTCACTTTTCAGTCTGCCATTGTTTGTGCTCTCTAGTTTGACATCTGGTCTCATCGTGTATACTCAAATATGCTGCAAGTTTTGCGGCCACAGCAGCCTCTTTAGTAACCTCATTAAAGTTCCTTTATATATATATACTTTTTTTTTTTTTTTTGCCTGAGCTCATAATTTCAGTCTGTATTGCTGGGTTCTAAAACCCAAGAAAAGGTGACAGTTACACCTAGTATATGTTTGAGGGCCATAAAGTATGACTTCAGGTCATCACATCCCATTCAGGGATCATTGAGGGCAAAGCCATCAGTCATCATCATATCATGTCACACCAAAAGGACAGCCATGTCTTTGCTATGTCATTGACCTGACAGAGGTCTTCAGGTGTGATCTGCACCAGACTGAAGGTGCAGGGAGTTAAAGATGGTCCATCTTCTGGATTTGGTGACAACATTTACAAGTTGCATCAGGGACATTCTGCATTACATGGCATTCCCTTCTTTTCAGACAGCCCCTGGCACAGTCTTTCTTCAAGACAATATATGTCCACATATGACAAGTGTGTTAACGGACAATCTGCTCAATGTTGTGGTCCCCCTGTGACCAGCCAGAACCTTCAGTCCTACACTAGAAACATTTGCGGAATCAGTTCGGTAGTCAACCTTGACCCAATTCTGATCAGCAGGATCTCAAGGGTCAGTTGCAACAGATGTGGGCCAAGATGCTGCAAAAGATACTGTACAACGGCTGTATGGGTCTTTTACACAATACATTGTTGTGTGTGTCCAATCCTGATGCAACATACACATTATATAATTTCATTACATTGTCATCATTCTCTACTGTATAAGCATTTTTTTTATTTTGTTATTTTTTTGTCAGTGAGTTTACCCTTAATACAAAGCCAAGATGTCCCAGTTTTATGTTGGAGAGCATGTCCAGTAAAATACATAAAAAAATGTATTTACTCCACATATTCTAAACCAGACCTGCTCACTACACACCCAAGTACATTTACTTCAGAATAAAGTCAGCTTAATATTACAGAAGTGAGACCTTTTCCTCTGGGAAAGTCTGTCAGTTGCACCTGGCTTGTTATCAAAGCCATTACTGACCCATTTGATATTGTTCAAACTGTAGCTATTAGCTCGGAAGGCTATTATATGGTGCATACACTATTGGCTGCTATGTGAGCTAGAAAAAGGCATTGTGCATTAGATATGCTCAAAGGAAGGTTCTCTGTATGCTGTTCCTCTGATGCACTCTGGAAATTGCTAACTTATTTTTTTTACATCTCAGTGTACCATGTTGTCTTTTAAAGACACACCTGTCGGTGAGCATCCTGAGAGCCAAGCTGTTACTTTTAAAGAAATAATACCCGCAGAAGTCACTAATGGGATCCAAAAAAAAGAGCTAAGTTTGAACATATGCATATAAGTGAGTATTGAGGACAGAGAGAGAGAGAGAGAGAGTGAAAGAGAGAGAGAGACTATTTTTGCAAATGATTCAGTTGAAGGTCTAAGTTTAAGCAACAATTGTTACACTTTCAAGAACATTTCTCCCTTTAACACACAGTGCACTGAGGCACACTATCACGTTATTAGGCAAATTACATATGCATGCCTTCAGTCATTTCAATAAATAAAGTGCAGCAAGCAGAACCAAGCCACACATTTGCTCATAAACTTGCCCTAACACAATTATCACTAGCCCTGTGTTCCTGACAAAGTCCCCATAGAGTTATTGCCAATAAAGTTTTTATACTTGCTGAACAAAAAAAAAAAAAAAAGTGCATTTGTATGATGTATACATAAGACCTCATAAAGTGTATCAGTAGATTTGAGCCACCTCGCCTTCATCTTTCTATATTTACTTACATGTTGTGCAGGAATACCCGGTTGCCCTGGTATCCCGTCGTTTCCAGGGATACCCTGAAAGAAGGAACTAAGGTTGAACTGGTTTGTTGCCGATCAAGGGTCGGCCACTCCCATCTCCACCAAGGGTTTAGGCAAAGCCAAAGGAGCAGGGTCAAAACAATAAAATCACTGCCATGCCTCAAAGCTCTAATCAATTTAAGAGTCCAAACAAAACACAATCCTGCGTATTTGTTTATGAACGGTCTTGAGTTCAACGATTAACACCAATGCACCCTTGTCGAAGACATGACTTCTTCAATGCATTCCCTACTACTGAAGCACCTTTGACTCTTACAGCATTTTCACTTTATTTGAAGGTCTGTTTAAATTAAAACACTTTACAGATCAGTGAAATTAACACTAAAGAGGAATCATTGCACCAATTTGCAGACTTTCTCATTTAGATCCAAACCTTCAAATAACTGTTTATGTCTCAGCTGACATTCTGAAAGCCTTCTTAATCGCTTTCAATTTGCGTTAAAGCTTGAAGCTCTACATGGGTTAGTGCTTTATAGAAACTTGATTTGCTCTTTAATCTATTTATGTTCAAGCGTTTGCACACATACTTTGTATTCTGTCAGTCCATTTCCTACATGCATATTATGAAACCCCGTACGAAGCAAAGCATGTCAAAGCCTTATGGCTGAACCCAAAGGCCCAAGCTGAAAGCCTCCATCATACAGAGCCACAGGAAAGCTATCAGACCCATTCACATTTACTACATTTTATGTTTCAGACTCAACATGACTTACTTTTTTTTTTTTTATGTTTTGACACCATGGTTCAAAAATGAAAAAAAAAAAAAAAAAAAAAAAAAGGTGGTTTAATTTCTTACACAATTAAAATATAATAAAAGTAGTATGATTGCTACTCCCATCATAATAGGACTACAACTATGGCTATAATAGATCATAGTGGTGCAACGGTACACGTGGGTGTATTGAACCGTTTCGGTATGGCATGGTCGGTTCAGTCCACATGTGTAAAGCTTTGGTTATTATTTCAGTCATTAAATTTTAATAACGAGAAACGATGCGCCACAGAGCTAAAGTTCCTAAGCGTGTTTCAGCATGGCGCTATTATCTTGCAGCACACATAGCATTAGCAGCCCAACAGGCAACGAACAAGCCATCTCGTTGTGGTCTCCTGCTTGGGAACGTTATGGCTTTCTTGTTAAAAGACAACTGAACAAACCCAAAGCTGTGTGTCGACGTTGTTTTGTTGATTGGATCTGCCTCAGGCAACATGTCTAACTTGTCAATACACTTGAAACAACATTATCCGAATGTGAATATAGCATGGTGCAAAGACCAATAGCAGCAGCATTTAAACAACCTTTATCAGCTAATTCAGATCGGTCCAAAACAATAACACAAGCTGTAGGATTTTTTAAAGCTCTGGATCTATGTCCGAATGTTGTTGATTTGCCGGCTTTAAGCATAAAGATCTTGAGCCCTGCTGCCTACGACATCCCATCACATCAACACTTAAGCCAAAAAATTGTAGCAGAACTTTATGAAAACACTAAAATTGATATTGTCAACAAGCCCTGGAGCACATATTTAAAGCCCTGCCACAATGATGATTAGCAAGAGAGGATATTCAACCACCTCATATGATGACCGTGCAAGAAAAGGTATTGTATTATTGTGATCTAGTTAACTTTTTAAATTTAAAATTATAATCATATTAAGTCTTTTTTTTTTTTTTTTATCTCTGTGTTGTTTGCAGTCTGAGGATAATAGCAGCTGAGTCTTCTTCATCCAGCAGATCACCTCCAGCTAAGAAGTCAGTAATGACTGAACTTGTTTACTTGGCATATTATCAAAATAAACATTTTGTAAGTCTTTATTTTGGCCATTTTGTACCGAAAATTAATCGAACCGAGCCCTCCTTGAAACTGAACCGAACCGAAATGTGATTTTAGCGTACCGTTACACCCCTAATAGATCACAGAATTATAATCACTAATTAATAGACATTGTTTTTACAAAAACATTTATAACTCTTTGGTGCACATTGTAACTTCAAGCTAGGCCCAGCTAAAAGCTGTATCATTGAACTAAGCATAACACTGATTGTTCAATTTTGGGACTCCAGAAGGATTTTAATAAAATTAGCTCTCTCTATTTAATTTATTGTATGTGCACAGTTAGTACACTCAATTTAATGTCACGTAAACAAATACAACAACAAAAACAAAAAATAAATAAAATAAAAACTAAAAATAGAAATGAAGGAGAAAAAAGTGCAATTATAATGGAAAAAAAAAATCATTTTTCCTTCATTTGCTTTCAGATCAGCACTAAGATCTTGGGCTGAACTGAAAACTCTAATTTGGGACACTGCAGTGAAGGAATAATAATACTAATAATACTACTAATAATACTACTAATAATAATAATAATAATAATAATAATAATAATAATAATAATAATAATAATAATAATGATGATGATGATGATGATGATGATGAAGATGATAACAATAATAAGAATAAGAATAGTAGTAATAATACAGGTAGTAGTAATAATAATAATAATAATAATGATGATGATGATGATGATGATGATGAAGATGATAATAATAATAATAAGAAGAATAGTAGTAATAATACAGGTAGTAGTAATAATAATAATACGTAAATGCAGATAATTATGGAAAGAGAAAAATAATCAATAAATCCATTATGAGATGAGTCTGAAACACTGAAAATGCAGAGCACTTGAAATGGGCTGAACATTTTCCATCAGTACGTTAAAGCTATAGTTTAGATTCTCTGAAGTAGGGTTTTGTTGAAGGCTTGTAAATAAATAATATGTTATCTGTTGTAGATAGCTCTTTGAATGTCCAATTCAGAGAAAGAGTTTAATTTTGACCAGATTGGCAAGAAATGACTTTTCCCGTAGGGCTACAACCACAGTGGGTTGCTCCCATGTTAAAAGAAGTCCAATCTCAAAAATGTTATAGAGATTCATACATTTTTTATTAGTTTTTGTTTCTTTACATAGAACATTACATTGCCGTTTATTTAGCATTACACATTTGTGCCAGCAGAAATATTAGAATGTTCCAGCCAGATGTACCAGGTTGAACCAGAAGTGATACAGCTAGCTGATGATACCAACTTTGGCATTCATAAATGACTACAAAATTCTAGGTATGACAAAAAAATAGTAACTGTTTATAAAATAGTGTTTCCTTGATGTGCAAATTCTGAGATGAGGTTGTTTTAGGAAACAGTGGTCAATAATAAACTCTAATTCTTCAAATTGAGATAGTTCAAAGATCTGTTTAGATAAGTTATAATTATTCATAACCTTTTCACAGAATCCCACTTCAAAAAAAAATCAAAACTATCATTTTCAGCACATTCCACACATTCCAGTTCAATTCAGGCAAATGAAGCAGCTCCTAAATTGAACTGAACATATATTCTAATCACCAACCAGCAAGCTCTGTCTGTTACCTGGGGTCCTTGGATTCCAGTCACTCCCTGAGGTCCGGGGGGGCCTGGAGGGCCAGGAGGGCCTGGGGGACCCTGCAACATCCAAAGAATGAGCACAAATGAAACCAAATAATTCACAATCACAAACTAAATAAGGTTTGTAACATGAAAACGAGCCAAAGCTTTCAGAGAAAATGTTGGTTTTCAGACAGTTCTGCTGGCTGACAGATCAGACCTGAGGCCCGGGCTGCCACGTGTTTACTGCAGCTCCTGGAGCTCCCTGGAAGGCAAAAATAGGCTAAATCAGAGTAGCAAAGGTGCACGGTGGGAAGTTAAAAATAACTGTCAACAAATGTCAAACCACAGAAGAAAGGGGATAAGAAAGAACCATGCATTGTTTTGTTTTTTTTCCCCTCAGTGCATCTCTCGTGGAGTCAGATTTAAACTTTCCAGAGTCATTGTAGTCAATCCAAAGTGATGCAGACATGCTTGTTTAATTAAAAACCTGCCTCTGAGTTTGTGCATTTGCAAATGTGTACTCACAGGTCCGCCTACACTTGACGGCCCTGGCGTGATGCAGTTGCACTGTCCTGGTTCACCCTGGAATATACATGAAAAATGGAGCCGTTGAGAAAGTTCAAGTGAAACAGTTTCCACAATTCTATGCTTGCAAAACTGAGTCCATATTCTATAATACTGCCATTGTTACGGCAAAAAGGCAAGATAAAATAAAGCATTGTTTATGTAACATCTGTAGTTTGTGCTTTTTTCTTTTAAAACACCCCTTTCCCCATATCATTCAACTTCATTTTTGTCTTTGAAATAAGCTTCTATAAACACTTGCATCTTTTGTCTTCCACCCTTACACTCTGCCTCCTTTGGTTCTTCATTTTTTCCCTTGCTCACAGTGACAGTCTGGACTCGTGGCCCTGAAACATGCAGTAATTAATTGTCTCGTACACTTGCACTCTCTTTGGGCCTGCAAGACTTCTCGTCTGCCAACAACGACACACTTGTCACCTCCGCTGCTACTCTGTCTGTGGCCCTCGGGTCGACGTGCGCAAGTGCGTGTCAGCACAAGTGTCTGTGTGTGTCTAAGGCAGGGTGGAGTTGGCAGGGTGTTAAGCCATCTCTGGTGATTACCATCTGGTCTGCCCTTATGTATTCAAACCCCTCTGGTTGGTGTCATCCAAACAAAACGGTAGACTTACCTTGTCCCCCTTAGCTCCATCATGTCCCTACAAAAGAACGAGACAGGACACAAAACTAGTTACTCCTGCTTTGTTGTTTCACATGAAAGCTCAAAGGCCGAGCACAGATGAGAGAGCAGAGGATGAGATGGTTGCAGGCATTGCCTAGATCAAAGGCAATTCCCATAGAAACTAGATAAAACATAAAACACTAAACAGACCCAAACATGCAAACACGTTTGGCTTTTGACTTTTTTTTTATTCAAATGCTGAAGCAAATTACGGTAACAAAAACATGCATAATGCTTTGAGATAATAAATGCATCACTTCTCTTTAAGCAATGCACTGTCTGCCAATTGTCATGCAAGAGAAGTAGAATTATACTTATTGTATGTTAATGTTATATATTTATGTTAAGAACATATGGAGGTATGGTAATTTTGGTCAAACCTCAAAATTCAATTTGATGAATCACCAATGCTGATCATCATGATGATATGATCATTATGCGATAATGCAAGATCCTATATGTTCTTGCATGATGTGTTAGTGTTTGGCGCATGCACGGTGACTGTAATCCGGCTACTACCACACCAAATTTTAGCTCGTAATCTGTAAAATTTTCTGAGGTGTCATTATTTTTGTGTAGACTAATATCAGTTAGTGGTGGTGGCCATCTTGGGTTGACTAAAAGTTAATTAGTTCAAGATGTATCGCCAATAATTGCTTGTTGAAATCCTTGCAGTGGTTTATGAGATATTTTGCTAACAGACAAACAGGGTCGACCCCGACAGTTAATTCCAAGGTTCTAAACAAAGATGTTGGGACAATGTGCGGTGCTAATATTATGAACGAATGACAATCAGACAACATTGTTGCTCAATATTGTCAGAACTGACTGAATAAATATCATTTTTGTATTTTCTAATGTGAACTGGCTCCAGAGGCCAAAAGTCAATCAGCAGTAATGCTCTCCCAATGACTTTCTGAAAGGCTCTTTGAAATAATTGTGTGGGTTATGTGATATTTGCTAACAGAGTCAAATTCAATGTTTTATGGCAAAGTTCTAGTCACAGATTCCCCACAATCAGTTAGGGGTCAGAGTACAAATTGAGGATCAGTCTCAGCAAGTACCATACCAAAACTTCACTCAATATCTCTAAAATTCACTAAGAAGTAGAACCTTTTTTTTATTTTATTTTTGTAATCGTAACTTCCCTGTGGCAGTCATCTTGAATCAAGATACCTCCAAAAGATAATCAGATGCTAACCCATGCATTACTTTCTGAAACTTTAAATGGGCAAGCACAGGCACATGGGCAAGTTTTTTTTTTTTTTTTTTTTATCGCTTGGCCCCTGCCTTTAGCAGAGTGTGTTACTAAAAGAGCAAGAAAACTTACATGTTGGCCATCAGCTCCTGGTTGTCCTCTTGAGCCTGGGGCTCCGTCTTTACCCTGAAAGTAAATTGGGCACAAAGTGTGAGAACAATATAGCAATAAATCACAGGTCAGTTTCACAAAAAAAGTGTTTTAATCCTACCGGAGGCCCTGCTACTCCTAAACCTGTGGGCCCCTGAGGCCCAGGAAGTCCTGTGTCACCTTTGGAGCCCTGCAAATGAGAAACACCCACCGTTGAAGTTTGCCAAGGTTTCTTCTGGTTATAGATGTAATCATTTAAGTAACACCCCTCCCCAACCACCACCACGACAACCATCTTAAAGGCTACCTTTCCCCCTGCTGGTCCAACAGGGCCCGGTGATCCTTGAACACCCTGAGGTCCCTGCATAAAATACAATCATTTGACTGAATTCTGAATATGTGAAGCAAAAAAGCAAGGCTTAAGAAATGTGAGATACTTACTACAAGTCCTGGGAGACCCCTTGGTCCCTCTTCACCCTATAATACACATAATAAGATAATGAATCAGATTATCAATTTCTCCTGTTAAAACCACATCACTCTGCAATGAATCAAATGGTTTGGGACAAGAAATACACAGGATTTCTAAAGTTTGGTTTTCTAAAGAAATATTGACTCATCTATTAAACACAATGGCCTTACCTGTGGTCCTGGAAGGCCAAATCCTGCAGCGCCAGCTTCTCCCTAGAAAGGGTAAAATATACCGCAGGTCAAAATGACAGCAAACCATCACATAAAAATGTCAAACTCTGTATTTGCTTTTTTTTTTTTTTTTTTTTTTGGTACATAATAATTTAAAAAAAAAAAAGGACATTAATACCTTACTTCCTTTGGAACCAGGTGACCCAGGTAAACCTGGAATACCTGGATTTCCCTAAAATGTACAAAGGTAGATTAACCAATAGTTCCCATACAGCTGTAGTAGAGTCCTACAGAGCTGAAATAAAGCTGGTTCAAAATTCCCTCACATTCTTGCCAGGCTTTCCTGATCCAGGGGGCCCAGAGTCTCCTTTCTCTCCTTTGGGGCCTGGCACAGCTACACCATCCCCAATTGCAGGCCCAGAAGAAGAACAGCTTGTACATGCCTCCCCCTGGGAAAAAAAAAAAATCCAAAACATGCTATAAAAAACTCTCTGGAAAATAAAAGTTACTTTTAAAGAAGGCAATTTTACAAGTTTTGGCACTAGAACATGACTTTAAAGTGGGTGTTGACCAGCAATTAAGTGTAAACTTAAAATAATAGCAACTTTACAAAGTACATTAATTGAACAAAAAAATTGGTACCAATCATCAAACAATACGAATCATTCAGCTGCAAGGTGAACTGAACATTTCTGGAATCTACCCATTTACCTTCTCTCCCTTTAAGCCCCTCAGTCCGTTCAGACCAGGACCTCCAGGAGGTCCTGGGACTCCAGGAACACCATTCAGTCCCATCTCTCCTTTGTCTCCTTGTTCGCCCTGGTAGGATTTGGCAACGAAGAAACAGTAACATGTTTAAGCAGCCACAGAGCTGTGTTTAGTGCAACTAGAGTAAAACTGATGCAACAGAGGTATTTACTGGAATGGATTAAGTGGTTATTTATTTAATTCTTAATGAAGAAAATGGTTTAACTGTTAGGGTTTTAGGAACTGACCGTCTCTTCTTTGAAGCTGAAGTGGAGTGATTCCATAAATAGATTTTATGCTATGTTTAAGCTACCTGGCTCTGTTGATGGCAGATTTACATCCCAGATGTTTTGGTTAAATGTTCCCAACAGCAAATCTGGTGGTATAAAATAAAGCTGGGGGTAGGAGGGTCTCAGCTTTCTGCAATCTTGTTCAGTGCTGTTGTTAAATCAAGGATAGCTGTTTTGTCTTAAAACCTTCCACGTTTTTCTTTTTCTTTTCTTTTTTTATATTTTAAGAAAGATTGATTTTTGTGTGGATACTAGGTTATTTAGAAGACTGGTGTAACACCCAAGAGGCTTGATTAGTTGGTTTTAACTTCTTAGCTGATAACGGGACTTTTTTTAATGTGGTGTGAATGTCTTGCTGAGTCCCAGCAGGATCTCACCGAGTTTGTGAAAATACATACAGAACATCTATTTATAAAGGAAATCAGTAGAATACTTAAACCAGAAACATACCTGCTCTCCCTTAGCACCAGGCAGGCCCGTTGTTCCCTGTGAAAGTAAAGATACATGCTCAGTTATCTGCAAGTGCTGAACACATTTCTACCAATACAGATACAAATCAAACAGCTGGCATGAATGACTTAGCATGTAATCAAAGTAGGGGAAATAGATATATGGGAAGTTAGTGTACCTAGCAAGTACTCTCACATATCATGTTTACACATTGAGCATTATGAGTAGACCTGCCCTGGAGGGTAAAATATTTCAGTATCACAAACTTTTAACACATCCAGATGGAAGTTACTCTGTTTCAGCCTGCAGGAACATAGGATGCCAAGAACTGGCACCGATGCTGTGGACATTCTCTGATCTTAATTTTGATGGCAATTTGTTGACAGTGGTTGTAATGTTAATCACAATGAATCAATGTAGCCTTGTTTTGATTTCTTGTTATTGTGCTCAAGGTGGATTTCAGCTATAGGACATTATATCATATCATGTATTTTTTTTAATTTTATTTTTTATAGACAAAAACTGTAATAAACATATATTAAAATTGTTTGTATACAAAAGAAACATCCAAGAGAATAAATAAGATGACTGTACACGGTATGCCATTCCAACTACTCTGTAGTCAATTCAGTCAAATAGCATAAATCAGTTTGAGGGAGTTTAGCTGTTCAACCTCAATAGAAGTAAGCTACTGTGGAAACTGACTGTTTTTACCTGCTTCTACATTTACTATTTTGCACTTGGGAAAACATTCCTCCTAACTGCATGTGCACGTGCAAATTGAAATTTATTGTACTGTGCAAACATTTGTGTAATAGATATATTTTCTTAGTGCTCCATCAAACCTGTTTGCCATCAGCTCCAAGTCCTGGTGGTCCAGGTGAACCTGGTGGGCCGGGTTCACCTTTTTGTCCCTCGGGAAATCCGTTGGGCTGGCTGTCATGTGCTGTTGGTTGATAAACACTGCACTCGCCCTGGGGAGGAGCAAGAAGTCAAACAGATTATTTTGCATGACAATTAGGCTAAAATACACATTAGTAAAACTTTTAATTACATATACTGTACCTTCTCACCCTTTTGGCCATATTCACCAACACCAGGTGGCCCTTGTTCTCCCTATAAAAATAAAATAAAATTAATTAATAATAATAACAATAATAATAATAATAATATTAATAATATTAAATAAGGCATAATACATATGACATTGTAAAATAAACCTATTAACAATTATGTGCCAAATTAACAATATGTCTTTTTAAAATAATATCATATGCAAATCAAATTTAAAAGATATTTCAAAAGTAGATATATGTTAAGCATATAAAGACTATTTAACATTGTACGTATACAACATCAAATGTTTTGAATAATAATCATCACTTTTATCACAAAGTCAATTATTTTGCACTAAATCTGGTTATTATTAAAGGTGGGATCTTTGCCCAATGTGTCATTATACAAATCGGATTCCAAAAATGTTGGGACACTAAACAAATTGTGAATAAAAACTGAATGCAATGATGTGGAGATGGCAAATGTCAACATTTTATTCGTAATATAACATAGATGACATATCAAACGTTTAATCTGAGTAAATGTAACATTTTAAAGGAAAAAATATGTTGATTCAAAATTTCACAGTGTCAACAAATCCCCCAAAAAGTTGGGACAAGTAGCAATAATTGGCTGGAAAAAGGAAATTGTGCATGTAACGAACAGCTGGAAGACCAATTAACACTAATTAGGTCAATTGACAACATGATTGGGTATAAAAAGAGCTTCTCAGAGTGTCAGTGTCTCTCAGAAGCCAAGATGGTAAGAGGATCACCAATTACACCATTGTTGCGCAGAAAGATAGTGCAGCAATACCAGAATGGTGTTACCCAGCGTAAAATAGCAAAGACTTAAGTTATCATCATCAACCGTGCATAACATCATCAAAAGATTCAGAGAATCTGGAACAATCGCTGTGCATAAGGGTCAAGGCCGTAAAACTCTATTGGATTCTCGTGATCTCCGGGCCCTTAAACATCACTGCACCTCAAACAGGAATGCCACTGTCAAGGAAATAACAGAATGGGCTCAGGAATACTTCCAGAAAGCATTGTCAGTGAATACAATCCACCATTCCATCCGCTGTTGCCAGCTGAAACTCTACAGTGCAAAGAGGAAGCCATTTCTAAGCAAGCTCCACAAGCTCAGACGTTTGCACTGGGCCAGGGGTCATTTAAAATGGAGTGTGGCAAAATGGAAGACTGTTCTGTGGTCAGATGAGTCACGATTTAACAATTCCATAACAATATATAAAAAAGATACAAAAAAAATTTAAAATGAAAGGCAGCAGAAAGAAGAAAAAACATCTTATTATATCTGCCCCTTTTTTCAAACAATTATTTCAGACATATTAATTTTCAAGTAACAGAACAAAATGAATAACTTTCTAATTTTTCTAATTCTAATAAAAAACACACACTAAGCTACTTCATATATACTTTTTTAACAATCTAGATTTGATCTTTTTCTTAAATGTACACATTGACTTGACATTTTTTACATCACTCTCTAGACCATTCCACAATCCAACTCCTTGGATTGAGGTAGACCTTCCCTTCAGACTAGTTCTGAATTTTGGTTTGACAAATATTTCTATCCCCTTAAGATTGTAACAACTTTGTCTTTTAACAAAATTTCTTTGGATATTTAATGGTAATGTGTTATTTTGAGCCCTATACATAACTGATAAAATACTATAATCTACCAAATCATGTGTAGTGGACTAGGCCCATGTCAAAAACTAAGTCTAAGGTCAAAAATCTTGACCTTAAGAACCTTGTGGGACAGGAACTGTCATTTCATTGATTTGAATCCAGAAATACAGGTTCACCCATCCTGAGACTTTCTCTCTTGAAGATTCAAGTGAAAAGAACACTCTCTGTTTTATTATCATTACTATTTTACAAATGTTGATAATCAAAGTGTCTTAGTTCAAACCATTTTAGATGTTGCAGTGAACTAATCAATTTTATTAACTGTGTAATGATTTTTTCTCACGCAAAGTTAGAACTCATGTCAAAGCTGTTACAGAGTAATTATGCCTTTTCTGATTTCTGCTTTTGAATGAGCAAGTGTAAGTTGGTCCAAGGTTGGAGTCAAACGCAAAACAAGTTGTTGGCATGTTTTTAGAATCCTCTCAGACGTAAATATAGAAGTTTGGCACCTGTTTCTGAAACGCGCCAAAACAAAACTCTCTCTGTCTGTGAGAACATTTCTGATCTGTTTCATAACAATTCTTGCTGTCTTCTAACCTCTTACGTCACAAAACACACCCCGTCTGGTTGTTTCTGACCAATGGGAATACTCCCAAAAGTGGACCGGAAAACAGTTCTTTAAAATGTCGGTACTTCCTGGTCTACTCAGTTCTGTTGAGGCTCTGCTCGAGATCTGTAAACTACACAGTTCTGTTAGAAGCTCTGGGATGGTGCTGGAACAGTTCTGGGACAGTTCTGTTCAGTTCTGATGGAGTGCTGTTGGAGTTCTGCTGGATACACAGTCCAACCAGTTCTGTGAGAGAAGCCCAGTTCTGTGAGAGACAGGATGATCCTGACATGACAACAGAGCTCTTCCGAGTTCCATGGGATTATAACATTTTCACTCGCTACTACTTCTGACGATTCACAGCATCCTAAGGAGACGCTGGACAGGTAGCGTTAACGGAGCTCCATATCTGCTGATTAACTTCAGAGAGGTAACGAGTCAAGTTTCCTACCAAGCGTACCGGGGAGAGCTGGGTTCTGACGGAGAGTGTCAATTCTGGTGAACACTTCCCCTCCCATACCATCTTTACTCCCTCTAAACTTCTTTCCCATCTTTAAACTTTCTATCAAGTAGATATACTTCCAGATATTTAGAAATGTCTGTGTAAAATGCTCATCCACATCCGTGTGGGTAAAAGATCATAATTGTACAGTTTCATAAATGTCTGTGGTGAAGCAACGGAAAAATCATGGCCGTATGATTTTTCCTGATTGATTGCTTATGTTGTTATTTTCATAATTTGCCAAATTAATGTAAATGTTTGATGTTAAACTTTGATTCTGTAAATAAATGACCGCATTCATTTTGATGGGTCAAATATAAATGACGTCTCACGTTTGCATTTCCTTAAATTCAATGCACGTTTTATTCAGTCCAGAAAAATGAGGAATCCGTGTTAATTGATGAATATATCCGAGCATCTGTTCATCTACACATGGAACTTCAAGATTTGAAGTTCTTTATGTAACACTGGGACGCCATGTCATCCGGACCAGAGAGGACAAGGATAGCCCAAGTTGCTATCAATGTTCCGTTCAGAAGCCTGCATCACTGATGGTATGGGGTTGCATGAGCACTTGTGGCATGGGCAGCTTGCATGTCTGGAAAGGCACCATAATTACAGAGAACTATGTTCAGGTTCTAGAACAACATATGCTCCCATCTAGACGTCAACTCTTTCAGGGAAGACCCTGCATTTTTCAACCCGATATTGCCAGACCACATTATGCAGCAATCACAACATCATAGCTACATAGGAGAAGGATCCGGGTACTGAAATGGCCAGCCTGCAGTCCAGATCTTTCACCTATAGAGAAAATTTGGCGCATCATAAAGAGGAATGTGCGACAAAGAAGGCCCAAGGTGATTGAACAGTTAGAGACCTGTATTAGACATGAATGGGAGAGCATTCCTATTTCTAAACTTGATAATCTGGTCTCCTCTGTCCCCAGACGTCTCTTGAGTGTTGTAAGAAGAAGGGGTGATGCCACACAGTGGTAAAAATAGACTTGTCCCAACTTTTTTGGGGATTTGTTGACACCATGAAATTTGGAAACAACAGATTTTTCCCTTTAAATTATGCATTCTCTCAGTTTAAACTTTTGATCTGTTATTTGTGTTCTATTCTGAATACAATATTAGATGTTGGCACCTCCACATCATTGCATTCAGTTTTTATTCACAATTTGTTTAGTGTCCCAACTTTTTTGGAATACGGTTTGTATATTGGTCATGTCATAATCTCCTCGCTCTGCCACCTGCCTCACCCACTTCTCCAAAACAATCAGCGCTCATGCCCTACACCTGCGGCACACTCTATATTGGGGACAGAGATGGTGTAGGGGCAGGGCAGCCAACTCTGGACCCCAAGGTCCTGGGTTTGATCCCTGGTCATTGCACACCTTGTGGTGTCTCTGAGCAGGACACCTCATCCTCATTTGCTCCCCAGGCAGCTTTCATAGCTGCCCGTTGCTCCACCTGTTGGTGGATGGGTTAAATGCAGAGAGACAATTTCGTCTTTGTATGTGAACATACAATGATGACAATACATACCACATTATATAAGAGCCCCATGCATGCAAGTTCTCTGCCAGCTTATTGAACACTCTTGTTCACACCTGACTTTCTTGACTCAACATCACACATTGTCTCTTGGATTTGCCACCCTACCTGCTCCACGTCTGGTTTATTCTGTCCTTCTGACCTTGGTAACTATGACCCTTTTTTTGCTATACAGATTTTCGATTAAGGATTCTCCTCTGGATTTGTTTTTGACCTCTGCTTCCAAGTGCTTGACCCCGCTTAGCTTTTTGGACCACGGTTTAAGTTTGCCCTGCTATCAAAACTATTCACAGTATTAAAGGTCTCTCTCTGCAGCTGCTCACCTACTAGTACAATGATGCCAATACCATCACTGACACCGTCTTTTCTAACCTTGACAGGTCACTCCCACCTCACCTACCTGAGAAGGTTAGTGGCTGTTTTATGTTATCAAGCACACTTCCTGAAACCTACAGCCCACTAACTGTATCATTTATGCAGACCTATTCCCATGACTGGATCCAAACTCCCACCAACAACTTCAAACCAATAAAATTAATTAAATGCTTTTGTTGTCTGGCTGAAATGTTGAATCCAAAAAGCAGTTTCTTGTCAGTATAATCTGGCCAGTATGGACTAATCTCCAACACAAGAGTGGCACTCTGGTGCCGGGGGTGCCATAATAAATTTTGAGAATAACATGCAGGAAATCATGACCATGTTCCATATCATGTTTAACCATCTATCTCACAGCCTCTTCCTTATGTGACTCCTTATCAGCCCAAACCTCATTATCATGTATCCCCCATCCTCAAACCTCATCTTTCACCGCCGGAGGTTTTCAAGGGGAACCAGACCAGTGTGGATCATTCAATGCAAGGTCCATTTTTAGCTCCAACCCTTCTCTTTCCAATTTGAGCAATCTAAGGTCGCCTATGTCATTTTTATACTGTCTGATAAGGCAAAATATGGTGCACCACTGAATGGCAGCAAAACTATATTTTTTGTTACTCATTTGAAGACTTCTCCAAAGAACTCTGCCTTGTTTTGGCCCCGTACAGCCTGAGAGAGAGGCCGCAAGGAGACTTTTCTCACCTAAACAGAGGAGGAGAAGGGTCACTGAGTTCATCATGAATGTTCAGATTGTTGCTGCAAAGAGCCCCAAGTCTGCAGATAATTCCACATCTGCAGAGTCCCACATATGTAGAGAGCCACATGTCTTCAGAATCCCACACCTGCAGAGGGTCTCAAGTCATCAGAGGGTCCCAAGTCTTCAGAGGGCCCACCCTAGCCGATGAAGCAGCAAAGACTTGATGAGACTGAACCTCATGGGTATCCATCTCTATCTACAAGGTGGTAGAGACTGAGTGACAGCCTACCTCAATGTCTCCCAGTGGGTTTCACTATGCCTCATGAGTGTCCCATGCTTTGTGAGTGTCTCATGCCTTGTGAATGTCCCATACATCGTAAGGTTATACGCCTCATGAAAGTTCCACATCTTGTGAGAGCCCCATGCCTCCCAAGGGTCCCACATTTCCCTTAGTCCCTGAAGTGGCTATGCCTCCCATAGTCCCTGAAGTGGCTATGCCTCCTTCAGTCCCTGAAGTAGCTACATCTCCTACAGTCCTTGAAGTTGCTACACCTTCTGCAGTCCCTGAAATGTCTACACCTCCTGCAGTCCCTGAAGTGGTTATGCATCCTGCAGTCCCTGAAGTGGCTATGCCTCTTGCAGTCCCTGAAGTGTCTACACCTCCTGCAGTCCCTGAAGTTTCTATGCCCCCTGCAGTGGATGAAGTGCCTAGGCCTCCTGCAGTCCATGAAGTGGCTACACCTCATGCAGTCCCTCAAGTGGCTATGCCTCTTGCAGTCCCTGAAGTGGCTAAACCTCCTGCAGTCCCTGAAGTGGCTACACCTCCTGCAGTCCCTGAAGTAACTACACCTCCTGCAGTTCCTGCAGTGGCTACACCTCATGCAGTTCCTGAAGTGTCTACACATCCTGCAGTCCCTGAAGTGACTATCCCTCCTGCAGTCCCTGAAGTGTATATGCCCCCTGCAGTCCATGAAGTGCCTATGCCTCCTGCAGTCTATGAAGTAACTACACCTACTGTAGTCCCTGAGACAGTTATGCCTACTACAACCCCTGAGGTGTCTGCACTTACTGCAGCCACTGAGGTCTCTACTACAGCTGCAGCCTCCATGGTCCCCATGAAAGCTCAGCCTCCTTGGTCCCATTGCTTGTTGTAGCCCATGCCTCTGGTTTCTCACCAACTACTGAAGCCTCCATGATATCTACCCAACCTGCTGCCTCCCTGATCTCTATGCCAGCTTCAGCCTCCTTGAGCTCTACACCAGCTGCAGCTCCCCTGGTTTCCACAACATCTGCAGCTCCCCCAGTCTCCATGACAACCTCAGGCTCCCTGGTGGTCTCTACACCATCTACACCATCATCGACTCTAGGGCGGCTGTGGCTGAGTGGTTAGAGCAGTCGTCCTCCAATGCGAGAGTTGGGGATTCAAATCCAACAGCAGTCGCATGCCAAAGTGTCCCTGGGCGAGACACTGAACCCCTTGTAGTTTCTGATGTGTGTCCCATCAGTGTATGCATGTGATAAAGCACTGATTAGTCTATTTAGAATGATTTGTTCAAATAGCTATGTAGAGTTCTGAGTGCTGTATGAATGGTTAAATGAGGAAACAGGTGTACAGCACTTTGAGTATCTCGATAAGATAGAAATGAGCTATATAAGTACAGTCCATTTACCATTACACCCATTGAGCCACAGATCCTAAGGCTCTTTGGGTGGACACAGCTCCTGCCCTGTTATGGATGGTATCCTGACCACCTGCCAGAGCTTCAGTTCCATGAAGGACGTCCTCCTGACCACCCGCCAGAACTTTCGCCTCACTCTGGACGGTCTCCTGACCGTCTACCTGAACTTCCTCACTCTGGATGGTCTCCTGGCTGTTCACCTGAACTCTGGTGGAACCCCCAACTCTTGTATTGGAAGACTGCTCTCAGTCTACTCAGCCACAGCCACCCAAAAGTGTGTCTATAGTTAAAAGTTGTGACACTAAATAAGCTCTGAGACAAGGCAAACACAAATCTGTTCATTAATGTTAAATATGTATGTATGAGTTCATTGACTGGAAAATTACTGCACTGCTTAAACTGTTCAACGGCATGTTCAACGTGTTGAATATATTCACAGGTTGATTCTCATCCAGAAACTGCTGTTTCAATTCATACAGTTTTTTTTTTCTTTATCAATTTTTCAAACAGTTTTGTCATTGTGATTTTAATAAAATGCCCTTTACTTTTACATCACTAAATCAGAGATGGTATGATCAAGCATACATGCCACATGTCTTTCATATCAGTGTTCGGGCTGCTTTGAGTGGTTAGAGCAACTTTTTTTGTGTGTGTGTGTGCATGTGTGTTTTATTTTACTTTTTATTTATATGTTATTGAAAGTATCTGAAAAGTGTGCATTATAAGTGTGGATGTATTTAAAATATGAACTTTGCCAACTAAGTCCTCAGTCAGGGTCAAGCAGTGTGTGTGTGTGTTTCTTCTTGTTGCATATTTATGAAATAAAATGCACAGATAAGCTAACTTTATGCTAAATTGCCTTAAAGCATATCTTTATTTTTGGCAAAAACAAGCTTATTTTTTAATTTGAGAGTGAATGTTTTTATTTTTATTTGTTTTGTTTATTTTTTTCATAAATATTTTATTTAAGTATGCTTCAGTTAACTTTGGAACAAATAACTATGGTTATTTGGCATCATAAAAAAGGTTGTAGTATTTCCTTATTCATGTGTTTTTGTAATAAACAGAATGCCATGTAGTCAGAAAAAGCAAATAAATTCATATATAAAAAGACAACAGTCACAAAATTTGGATTTTTATTTCATTAATATTAACCTTGTTGGAACACTTTAACTGATAAAACACAATTAAAGTGCAACCCTAATTGAAACAAAGTTAATAAAATAAATCTTGGATTATTTTTTTTTTTTCCTTACCTTTTCACCTTTTAGTCCATTCTTGCCACTCGGTCCCCTTGGTCCAGTTTTTCCCTGACATGGGATCACAATTTATTTTGTAAAATCAGCAGGTTGTGAAGCAGAACTTTCAGTTTCAAAGAACTAAAGCGGAACTTACAGGCTTTCCATCAGTGCCTGCGCTGCCTGCATTACCCTGCAGACAGGCAAAGAAAGAAAAAGAATTACAGAATTTTCTGAATTGCTAAAAATGGATGAGTTTTTAAATTGGTAATTCACCCTTCATAGTAAGTCTCGCCCTAACAGGCAGCTATGTCAAATGATATTGGTTTTTGAGTACCTAGGCTCTTCACTAATATATTTCCAGCTGAGGAATATCCCTATGGTCGACAGTTTGGGGTCCTAAAATTAGCACACTGTTGTGATTATCTTCCTGATGGAGTCTATTAAGAGACCTGCTCAGACACCTACTGGGTGAGCTCCTCTTATATAAGCCGTGTCAGCTACTGAGGTCAGCTACTCGCTGCACTACTTTAGTGTTACCTACCTTCTCTCCTCCTTGTCCAGGTAAACCTACGCTTCCCGGTTCCCCCTGTGAAGTAGAACGAGTGTGAAATTAATAAGTATAATGAAGACTTAATGAAGGCATCACAAGTTCTCAAGAATGTTTCAGAAATTTTGAATGGTGCAAATCCAGCTATGGTTTGAAATGTTGACATACTTTACCTCAATCGTCTTGCAATGTCCAATTGGGTTTTGAATTTGAAACTTAGCTTTATTAATAATATTATTATTAATCTAAGCTGGCAAAATGCAGATGTTATGATGGAAAAACTGTGCTAAAAGTGTATGGAGAACCAAGATCAAAAGAAATGTTTGTTGCAAATAGGCTATTAATGGCACTATTGCACCAGTAAATCTGCGCCTGTCACTCACTGACCACCATTTTGAAAACCATTTTGAGCAATAGATAACTACTGACTGAGGGTGGAAGCTAAGACTGAAAGGAAACACAGGAGTGAATTAAATAAACTGCACACTAAGAAAACACAACATTAATCACAAGAATGAAAACGGACTCAAATCAGGAAAACCAAACAGAAACACACATATTGTGACAATATGACCTGCAGCACTGAGAGATATATTGGTTTAAAGAAGACAATTACATTATATATTTTGATACATAACTGAATAAGAAGTACCTGTACTGTAAAACGATTGTGGAAGGAATAATGGAGTGCTTTTGTCAAAGTGTTGGTAAGTTTTGACAGCTTTGAAAATTAGTGACATCATCACACATCTGAGGTTTTTTTTTTTTTTTTTTTTTTGTAGAATCTTTAAAATATCATAAAAAAACTGCAATTGTGTTAAAATTATTTGTGATTTCAAAATTTCTATTCAGCCTTGCCAAGGTGATAAGTCCAACTTATCACCTTGCTGAACTTTAATTGATGTTTCTGCAATGTTTCACCAAAAAAAACATTGTTGTTTTTGTAAATTAATTTCAAACTTTTGCAAATTGTGTCAATTTCATGCAGTGTACTGCTCTCAAAATTCACAGAAACAAGCTTTTTTCCCAATCTTTCTGTTTCTCAAAGCCACAGTGGTGAACTGAAAATTGATGGAGTTTTGGCCTCATAATAAACAACTTTAATGTTTGTGCGTTAGCACTGTAATAAAAACAAAACATTAACAACATGTTTCTGTTCTTTCCTCTTTACGTGCTTTACTGTACTTGGAAAAAGAAGAAAAAAAAAAAAACAATTAAAAAAACCTACTTGATTCCCTTTTTGTCCAATCCCAGGCTCCCCTTTTTCCCCCTTCGCCTGCAGCAACATTTGGGTCATGACCCCAGAGTTGAGGTTAGCAGGAAGTTCGCCAACGCTGACGCATGAAGAACACGACTCTCCCTGAAGCACATTAACAGAGGTTATTTTCAAAATTGCATCCACTAATACTGATTTACATAAAATTTGGAACAGACTCTCAACATTTAAAATCTTAAAACTAACAAGGTTGGGAGAAAAAAAAACACTTTCAAATAGGAAAACATTCAAAGCTTGGTAATTAGTAAGAAAATGTATCTGGCCTGTAAGCGAATAAAGCCATCTAAAACAGAAAATAGTTTTAAGTTTGAGCTTAAAGACAGAGACCAAGCTGACCTTTTCTCCCTTGGCACCATGTGATCCCGATACTCCCTGCCAAAATAAACAAAAAACACACACATCCAATTTATTCCCAGCTCATCCTGCCAAGCAAGTTTACTTTCAGTTATCGTGTCTGAACATGGCATTGGAAGCATTTTTGGTCATTGCAATTAGCAGATGTCAGTAAAAGTCAGTAGTGTATGTGTGTGGGTGGATGTGAGGGGGTGGTAGCGTTAATTTGAGATGCTTCTCATTGATGTAGAAACACAGCTATAGATCTACACCTACATACAGCTGGTGCTGTTTTAGGATTATTTCATGTTGCTGAATTTTCTGCAGTTTGTTTCTCGCAGTTTTGCTAGCTTATGCTTTAGGAGGGATAGTGCTAGCACATCAAAATTTATAGTTCCACACAATACATATAGGGATTAACTACAAATTGCAAATGAAAGAAAAGGGAACTCAATACCTTTTGTCCTGCTTTGCCATCCACACCTCTTGGTCCCTGACAGACAGAGAAAAAAAGGCGTGAAAAGGAAGATTATCGAAAGTAAGCGTGTTATTAGTTTAGCCTCGTGGGGGAGAGGGCACATCTACTTTTCCCTTTCTGTGTATATACCTTGTTCTCCCTCTGCCCTAACCAGGTATGACAGATTCATGCTGACACTATTGAAAATCGTTGCATAGAAAATCTCATAAGACTAAATATTTATATTCTATCGCTCCTCCGACACAAATCATTCTCCATCTCACCTGCTGGAGTATGTGGAAGTAAAAAAAAAATAAATAAATAAATAAAATAAAATAAATAAAAATAAAAAAAAAAAAAAAAAAAAAAAAGAAAAAATATATATATATATATATATATATATATA